TCCACTGTCCTTTGAGCTCAACGGGCTTCTTTCTTTCTCATTGACTTTCTTCTTCCAATTTCTAATTTCTTAATTGTGACGTAGACACCATCACCCCTTGAGCCCGCCAGTGATGCACAGCGGATTGATTTCACGCATTGGACCTGGCAAGGGAGTGTGAGCTGGCCTCTCTCCCCGGCCACCTAATTATCATTTTCTTTGTTGTGCTGAGAACAATGAAGATCATTTTCATTTCTTCTGCTCTTCCCCCTCTGTGCTCCGTTCAAGGACAATGTGAGCTCAGAGGAAATGGGACTGATTTCATGGCAGACCTTAATTAGAATCCTATGAGCCCATGCATAGTATCCTGTGCAAAAGCAAACTCTACCTGGATTTTTGTTCTGATTCTTCACATTACCTGGGCGTGGAGCTCACCAGGTGGGCGGCTGTGCTGGCGGGGGTGTCTCAGCTTTGGAACTGACACTTCCACAATATTGAGTTTCCGCAGACATAAATATAACTCAGCTCATTCACTTTGGCATTTCTTAGATTTAATTCTAGTATTCTAGTAGTTTCTTTCTGATAGCTTAGCTCTGCATAGTAAACTCCTTTAGTCTGCTTTTTCTGAGTATGTCCTGTGTTTGATTCTCGTGTGAAGCATAGCTTAGTTGAGGACAGCATGTAGACTGGCAGCTGTTTTCTTTCCATACTTAGAAAACATTATATGATTTTTTTTTCTGGTGTCAATGCTGCTTTTAAAGGCTTCAGCCAATCCTACCCTGTGCTTTTCTCTCAGGTTCTGACAGCCAGTTTCTGGGGTGAGATGACTTCATCTCTGAGAGATGCTTACCCTTCCCTGCCTGGTTTAAGGGTGCACCCCTCCATGCTCAGAGCTGGGGGTCAGTGCTGCAGCATCAGTTGAGCAAGAAGCTGCATTGAGCTGAGCATAGTCAGAGGCGGGATCCGGCACTGCAGGAGCCCAGGGGATGAGGCAGAGGGTGAGGAAGGGCCCAGACAGGCCCTCAGGATTCACCTGCCTCCGGTGAGCAGTGTCTGCCCGTGCTGTCTCTGCCTAATCCCAGGAGAGCCGGGGCCTGACCGCTCTTGCACCACACCCTGACCACACTGCCTTCCACTTGCCTCCAAGTCCCTCTTACTGCTTGGGCCGACATCTCACTCACCGCATGGCCTAGGGAAACCACACCTCGCCCCGGCTTACCTCCAGGCATGTGGACAGACCGTGTCCTGTGCTGGGGACACCCCTCCCCTTCCACGCATCAGCGCATGTTTAGTGCCACCTCCTCCTGGTCATCCCGCTGAGGATGCCAGGCCTGCACCCTGAATATCTGGGTTAAATGCCCTCCATGGCCACTTTTCAGTGTCCAGTAGCCACTTGCCCTTGTCACCCCAACTGTGGTGGGACCAGAACTTGCTGTTTGGCTGAGAGAGAGGAGCTCTGTCTGGAAGGCAATGAAGGGGCCATGGGGCTGTCCTCAAGACTTCTGGGGTGATTCTGTTGGCCAGTAGTTAAAGCATATTCTTGACTCTCACTAAACTGTTCACTGCTGAAATTTTCAAATGCCCAACACAGCTGGGAGAAGCAGAGCATGAGTCCTGTGCAGACCCAGCATGCCAGGTTCTGGCCGAGCCTACCACTGGCAGGATGCATTGTCATGTGGCCGCAGGGTCATGTGGCTTCAGGGTCACTGTCCACTGAGCCCTGCTGGACACCACCCACCCTGACGCTGCCAACTCCTGGGTCCTGGCAGTGGTTTTAGCTGCGGGTGTTTCCAGGGGCCAGGGACTCGATCCTGTGACTTAGAGGACTATTTTTAGCAGCTGGGCCCTTACCCCAACAAACCTTATCTCTAGCACTAATAGCCATGCCAGATAAGGTAAGATGAGCACACATGTATTACAAGAGTTTACTTTTATGTTATTTCCTTATAAATTCAATTTGCCAATAGGAAAGTACCATAATGAATATTAAGATTTGAATTTTGATAAAGCTGGCAGTGTTTACAGTTCCATTTATCTCAATATTCTGTTTTGGTTGAACCCAATTCAGAAATCACCGAGTCACAAAGGTAAGCCGTTGCTAATGGTAACAGGTTTTTATCTTGTTTTTAACCATTTTCCTTGTGATCTCCAGAGTCTCTTCAAATAAATTGATCCAAATTCGTGGAAGAAAGACCAGGAGGATTTTTTGTTTCCTTTTCAGGATTGAGTCACTGATCTCACAGATGTGCACAATTTTGATTATTAATGTAAAAAGCAGGCAAGAAGAAACTCAAGCACAAAATAAGCAGAGCTGTGCACCCCCGGCCATGTCTGATGTCACCCTTTCTGTTGTTGGTGCCACTCTGGTGGCACCTGTGTGAGAGCAGGTGCAAATTCTGTGCTGGGTTGTAAGCCCAAATATTTTTTTTTTTTTGGGGGGGGGTTGTTGTTTTAAAAGAACAAGGTGGAAATGAAATCACATATGGTGACTCATTTCCAAGAAGTTCAAATATATTCACACTCATGATAATGTTTGTTTAACTTCCACCCAAGAGGGAGTTAAATATAAAATGTGATGATCATCCACTGGTCTGCTCTGCAAAGCACAAGTTTGTAAACAGTGATTGAGTGTGTTGAACTCTTGCTAACATTTTAAAGTACTGGAATCAACATTTGCAGACACCTCTAAGCACAGCCTCAGAATCTCAGACTCCAGAGGACCTCGTTTGAAAATCACAGTAAAATCCAAAGTGAATTTGTGATACTTCAGATACTTTTGCCCGGTTCCTGTTGATAATGTGACTCAGGGAGCTAGTTGGGTACAGATCGTGTTCAAGTAGAGGAGGGTTATGCCTTGACCTACCTCCTTCCCTGTCTCTCTCTGCCTGGGCTTGGGACCGAGAGGGTGAATGTGCCTTTTTTTCACCCCAAAAGGACTGCCAGTTGTGACTAGATCCTTTCTCTCCCTCCTTTCTTGAAGTTTCATCACATGTTTGTCTAAAGTTCAAAGGAGGCCTTCCTTATATAGTTTTTGTTCCTGGAGACTGCCTTTTTTTGTTTCTTTTAATCCATCTTGTTTTCTAGCAGGTGATTTCTTTTCTCCATGGCTTTTCATTCTCCTCAGAAATCCCAAATATCTGGTAGTGATACAGACCCACCCTTTCCTTAGCTGTCTGCCCAGTTCCGTATGGAAACCTACCTCATCAATCTCTAGCTTTAGTCCAAAAGTTTACTTCTCCTCAGTATTCACTCCCATTTTTCTGGAGCTGATCTCCAAGTCCATGAACATACGTGGGCGAAAAGCTCTCTGAGGCCTCCTTGTTCCTGAAAAAGCCTTTCCTTGCCTTTATATGCAGATGACTTCTTTCAGCTCTAGAAAACGTGGCTGGTTTCTCTGGCCATTCTCTTCTTCTCACTCACCCTGGTGTGTCCTGATGGCACTTCTGTAAGCAGGTTTCCCAGGGGCTTCACCCCGCTTCTGCATCACCTCTAGGGTTCTTACCAACCTAACCTCCCACCCTCTTACACGAATGCACTTATAAAAGTGCATTTCATCAATCATATTTTAACTTCCACACTGCTCTTTGTTTTTCTAAATGTAATATCCTTTCAACTTTTTGTGAGGATATTACTTTTTTAAGAAGTGATTTTCCATTCCTTCCATTGGCCTTCTCAGATCTTCATCTCTCTCATGCTGAAGGCTGTCCTCAGATATCTCCTCATTCTGAGTTTTCCACTGAGAGGACAGTAGGAACAGATAAGGCTGCCAGAGCCTCTGTAGAAGATGGTGGTCATTACATAGTCACTACTATTGGCCCCCTAAGGGCTAATATGGGGGGACTCGTTATCCTCTGTGGTGCTAGCCCTAGGAGTGGCTGCCTAATTTCTTTTATAGTTTCATTTATGTTTTGTTTACACTCAGGACTGGGTTTTCAGGGTACTCAGAAGTTACTTTGACTAGACATGGTAAGACATGCAGACTACCAAGGCAGTAAGTTTGTCTTGCTTGGAGATCCCAGAAACTGGAGACATGACGTGCATCTCCTCAGGGCCACTGGGGAAGCCCCGGGGCCAGTCATGGGCAGAGGGGTGAGGACAAAGAGGGTCCTCAGGGAGAAGCTGACAAGAGAGGGTCAGGAGGCCTAGCGCTGGCCAGTTCGAACAAGACCAGGCCTCTGGGCAGAGGGGCGGTGCCAGGTTGTCTCATGTTTGGTGCTGGGGTGATCAGGGAGGAAGCTGGACTGTGGGCTCCGTATTGGCTGGTTTGCCTGGGAGAGGGGCGCTGATGAGTGGATTACTTGTCGTCTTTAGGAACCAGGCTGGGGGGTGGAGGTAGGGAGACTCCTCCTTCAGGGTCCGGAATCCCTGGATGTCACAGCATCAGAATACAGAAAAGAGAAGACACGGCTAATAAGAGCTCTTGGTCTTCACTGCTGTTCTTGCTCCTGTTGTCTGCCCCTCACTCCTCCCCTGCTTATTCAGGTCGGTAACTGCTGGTTCCAGAAGGTTCTGAAGCCTAGCAGAGGTGGACCCCAGGACACAGGCAGCTAAGCGGTGCCCTCACCCTGCTTCTGTCCTCCCGGGGGTCACCGCTGATCATGCCGCCAGGACCTCTGGCTCTGCTGTCTTGCACCTGCCACTTCAGTCCTTCAAGGTGGACATGTTAAGCACGGCCAATGGTTGGGCCCCATTCAGGAGGCATAGCTAGAGCTCTGAAGACTGTGGGTCAAAACCCACCCTCATGTTGCTGACAGAAAGGCAGGGCACTGCCACCCACCCCTCGTCTCCAGGATGTCTCACCCGCTGCTGTTCTACATTGTCTTTGGACTTGCTTTTTACGAAGAACTGTGTTGTATATCCATGGGAAAAGTACGGTTCCTATGAAATGGGGTGGATGTGGGCCCCCCCACCCTGACCTTTCCCAGGTCAGCCACAAAGGGGGGTGCTGCCGGGCCCCCACCCTGCTGTGAGGACCCCAGGAAAGCCTCCCTGGGCTCATGAAATCCATTTCCTGTTTCCAGTGCCGACGAGCGGTTTGACGCCACGTTCCACACCAACGTGTTGGTGAACTCCTCTGGGCACTGCCAGTACCTCCCCCCAGGTAAGATGTACTCTGCCCCCCGCCCACGTCAGGGAACTGGAGCAGGTGCTCGTGCCAGCAGTGGCTGTCTGTGAGCTCCCCCGCCGCCCTGGCTCTGTCCCCACCCACATCTTCCTGACTGTGGCCTCACCGCCTACCTCCTGCTCGGGTCTTGGAGTGATGACTTGAGCTTCTGTATCACCCTGTGTCGTGTTTTATTGTCCACCTGCTTTTTAAAGTCCAGGCATGATGGACGCCAGTCTCCTGGGTCAGGCAGTTTCCAGCTGACCCTTGCAGCCCAAAAGCCATATTTGGGCCCTTCTCCTGCCACGAGGCTGGGGGGCTTGGCAGGTGCGCTCTCCATGTGTTCGGCTGGGGGTGATCTTGTTGGGTCTGTGTAAAGAGCACCTGTGTGTCAGACTGAAACCAGATCGAGTGGTTTCGAAGTGGGGGTCCCTGAGCAACGAGGTCCTGAGTGAGCTGCTCTCCTCCTCCTGACCAGCTGGTAGTCAGCTGCCTCCTGGTCCTGACTCTCTTCCCGCCTGCCTGTCACCACAGTCGGCTCACAGGTCCCTGGGACACTCAGTGAGTTGCCCACAGTTTAGAAAATCTGGGTTTTCTGGTTTTGAGATATTTGGATGTTGACAGGTTTTTAAAAATCTTTTAGATAATTTTTAAGTACTTTTCCAGCATTATCTTTCCCAGACAAACACACTGTGACTATATTTTTAATTTCTTGCTCTCACATAAGTTGCACCACCCCTGTCTTCACGCACACACACACTCACACCATACTCACACCACTTCCCGCACACATACACCGCACATGTATATAGATATATAGTATGTACCCAACTACATATACACACACCACACATACAATACACACATGTACCACACAACACAATACACACATATATTATACACAACACACAAAACACAGCCGCCCATACACTCATCACACACATGCATGCATGTGACCAAACACACAGGTGCAAACACACACACTTCACGCACACATGTGCACACACACACACGCACCTCCCTAGCAGTCTTTCCTGTTCTCTAGGCTTCTGACTCACCTCCCAGCACACACAAAGCTGGCTTGTCCTTTACACGCTCTTCCTCTTCAGCGGACAATAAACATCCTGTGGGTAGAATCCAATTACCCACCTTAGAACCAGCCCCAGTGCCCGACCCTTGGTCGATAAAACGAGTGAGTGATTGAACCCATCACGGGGAGATACTTCCTAACTCTGTTTGTATAGATTCAAGAACTTCTAATTTTCAGATTTTCTAACTTACAGCATGCTCCCTTTGCTGCTTCCCTCCTCCAGACCAAGCAGCCTCTCCTCTCACTGGGCCCCTTGCAGAGCAGGGCTGGGGGAGGGTCTGTTCTTTCTCGTTCTTTCTCACCAGGCCGGTGAGGTGCAGCTGCCATGGTGAGGACTGTCTGAGGCTGTGACCCCAGCAGCCGTCAAGTAGAAGAAAGTGGACCGCAGGTTGCTTTGGAGGCTGGGGCTATTTTCAGTTAAGGGAGCATCGTCCCTGGCCCCAAGCTATATGGGCTCAACAGTCCCCAGTGCTCCATCGCTGTGCCCTGTGGCCCCTGGGGGATTGTCCCCCATGCAGCCCCCCTAACCCTCTGTTCTTCCCTTGAGCCTGGTCAGGACAAGGCAGACACAGTGCTTGCACCTGCATTGGTGGGAGCAGGATGGAGCTGTCTGACTTAGAGTTGTTTTGCTGTGATTCATTAGTTCATTTGCTTTGGCTATTTACACTCCACATGAGAGAAGCCATCGATAATTGTCTTCCACATCCTGATGTATTGCGTTTAGCATAATCACCTCACGTTCCATCCTGTGGTCACAAAAGTAAAGATTTCTTGCTTTTTTTTTTTTTTTTTAATATAGCTGAGCTGTTTTCTGTTGAGTGCATCTACTCCAGGCCCTCTCTCCAGTCATCTGTCCATTTAGGTTGTCTCCATGTCTCAGCTAGTGTGAATAACGCTGCTATGAACATAGGGAGGCATTTTTTCCAAACAGTATTGTTTGAATGAGAAGATCAAAGATCCATTCTCTTACAAAACGTCAGGTAAATGGTTCAGTGTCACTAACCGTATTCACCAGAATGCACACTGGATGCTCAGGGTTATTCAATTTACAACAAAAGGCTGTGTCTCCCCAATCTGCCACCTCACTCCCTGACCGCCATCATCCTATGTCAGTTTTCACGAACTTGACTTTTCTTTCTCCAGAGGTCCTGCCTATGAATGAATGAGAGCATATAGTATTTGTCTTCTGGCTTATTTCACTGCCCTTATGGTCCATACATGTTGCCACACATGGCAGGATTCGCTTCCTTTTTTTTTTAAAGATTTATTTATTTGTGCATACAGAACTGGGGTACAGACCATAGGCTCAGGGGCGGTGAGAGGCTTCACCAGAGACAGA